GTGGATTTACATCGCGTTTCACCGATGCGATCCGGTAGATCAGGTGGTTGTCTCCCACCATCGCTCTACCGCTATCTTCTCCGACTTCACGGTAGTCCGTTGGCGCCTCCGTGTCCAGTCTCATCTGCGGACCCACGGCACTCAAGGTTCGGAGATGTCGGGTGATGAACTGCTGGCCCATGAAACTCATCACTTGCGACAAAACGTCGCCGTACAGACGCGACAGCGATGCACGAACATCGGCATCTGCGGCGTTGTAGGGAAGAGTTGCGTTAACGTCCGCCACGTGGCTTGCGTAGTTCACGTATAGTTGTGCCATCACTTGTGTGCGTGTCTGTGTGTGTGGTCTCTGTTCGTGGGTCAGCTTGAGGATGGAGGGAAAGGTGTGAACGATGACGGCTTCTTTCTTTATCTGCAACGATACACCCAGAGAAAAAGTCTCCTGCCAGGTCTTGGCGAGATCCTCCGGAGGACTGTGGGAGGGACAAACGGAAATAAAAACTGCGACTGCTGAGCAGCCGCAAAAAATAGCGAAGAAGAAAAAGGAAAGCGTAAAGGCTGAAGCGTTTACTTGGGAGAGGAAAAGAGAGAAAAGTAGAAGAAAAGGTTTGCAAAAAAAAGATGGTGGTGCCACTGTCAGCGTCTCGGTCGCTGAAAGCTTTGCGGCAAAGCGAAAGGGTTCGTGTCTGTCCGTACAAGGGCTGTTGAAGCTCTACAATCGTTGCTACACTAAAGATGAGAATCGCTGAAACCAGTTTTTGAAAAGGGCTTTGGATGTACGTCACGTAGCTCTCGTATTCGCCGTACGGCGGCGAGAAGTACTCGAGTGCGTCGTTGCCGAAGACGCAGCCATCCCCCAGAACCAGCGGTGTTAGTTAGACCCCTCGGGAAGCCACCCGGCGGCGACGATACCAGTCGTCCGTGACGCGTCCGCCATGGCCTCGCCCGCCGGCGAGGTGAGGGGGGCGCGTCGTGCGGGGCCAACCCGCTCTCGCTCGGCCGCATCGGCGGCTGGTGCGGCGGCCGGGGCCGGTGGGCCCGCGCGGGCGGTTTCGCGCCAAAGGCTTGCGGAGTCGCTGTGGTGGGCGGATCGGTGCGGGCTGCCGCTGACTGTCACCGTCGGCAATGAGCGCAGAGACGTGCTGGCGTCTCTCACGGATCGTGTGCGAGACCGAGTGGAGGAGCTGCGCATTGAAGTCAACACAGAAGCTGCGAGCGTGCAGGACCCCGCGTTGGCGTCCGACGGTCAGTGCGGCAACTTTCTCTGTGCGCTTTTGACGTTTCCACACGTGACAAAACTGTCAATTGTGTGCAGTAAAACTGACGTTACTTCTCGTGAAACTCGTGACGTGAATCACACCCTACGCGTTGCAGCAGAGATGCCAATTAGCGAGATATGCGTTCGTGGTTTTATGGAGCTGACGGATCTCTCTGTGCTGGCGGGATCGCAGCACCTTCAACATTTGACAGTCACCCATTGTGGAATACAGTCGGTTTCTGACTTGGTGAGCTGTCCTATGCTCACAGAACTCGATGTCTCCCACAATCAACACCTCCAGACTCTTTCAGGTCTCGCAAGCGCACCGCGCCTCAAAACTCTGATCGCAACGGATTGTGATATACGAAACTTAGACGGCCTTGGCAGCTGTCCCAACCTGTGCAAGCTTGACGCGTGCAGCAACGAATGTTTAGAGAGTACTCGCGGCCTTGCTGGTGCGCCAAGCCTCGAGAAACTTTTCGTGAACTGTTGCAATGGACTGCGCAATGTTGAAGGCCTTGCGAGCTGTCCGCTGCTTACGGAGCTCGACGTACAGTTTGACACTGAGTTAGAAGGATTTGACGGACTCGCTGGTGCTCCGTCGCTTAGGACAATCAATGCGAATGGATGTGGGTTGCGCAGCGTAGATGGGCTCAACCAGTGCCCACAACTCAGCGAGATCGATATCTCCGAAAATGGAGCCTTGGAGGACCTTAGCGGCCTTGCTGGGGCACCGCGTCTTGAGCGAATTTAGAAGAGAAGGTCTCTTTCTGATTTTGATTAGTGCCGACGAGGGCAGATAACGGATACAAGCTAGACAGGTTAACCGAAATAAAGAGAAAGAATAACCTACACCCTACAAATCATCACCTACCAACAGGTCAAACCTTTACATGTGAACTACATAAATTTATCTTTCTTGGTTTTACAACACACTGTAAATATCATTAGTTAAATATATGCAAAGAAAACAAACTATTCAACAGACTCTACGAAGTGGGTAGCCCGCCTTACGCTTCCCCGCTGGGTGGGCGAGGAGTTCAGGGTTGGGCGGGTGGGAAAAACTAAAAGATGGAAGAACTGCTGAATTCTAGCAGTTGAGAAAGAGAATACAAGAAAAGGGGAAAAGAGAGAGGTAGGATGAATAATTCTTCAGGCTAGGTCATTCTATTCGCAAGCTCCAAGAAAAGAAAAGTGGTGAGACGAAAAAAAAAAGATGTTAACAGCGAAACGAGAGGAGTAGGGAAAACAAGCGTCCTTGCCTCAATTACGCATTGGAAGCAGTCCCATCACCTTTGGTTGCGGAGGAAACAACAGAACCTAATAAACAGAAGTCGACAAACCTGAATTTGGTGTTGTGTGTTATTCTGCACCGCGATGGCGCCACTGGAGCTGTGAGAGCATCCCCTCTTTGACTGTTCAACGTCTTAACCACGTGAATGCTTTCTGCACTAATGAGGCTAAACGTGTTATCAACTTTTTAATCAATGAATTTAGAGTGCACAACTTTTACTTTTCCGCGTGTACAACAAATGAGAAAAAGAAAGACGTGCATTTGTACCGTTCGGGAACTGAAACATAAAAACTAAAAAAGCAAGGTTTCCAGAAGAAAGAGGTCAGAGGCACAACAAAACAGCGAGGATACATCGCATCGCAGTCCACACGCGTGTTCAGTTTTGTTCATCCGCGCCTGCTCAGCTGACTGTTTTCCGGTTCGATACTTTACAGGGAAAAAAGTTCTCTGGAGCCTCACGATTGCCAGTGTGCTTTCGTCGCATAATTAAACTGCGATGTGCCGGAATTCTCACAGCGGCTACTCGAAAGGGAGTCAGCAAGGTTAGCGTACGCAACCTACAAGTGAGCAACAGCAGAATGTATCGGCACACATGCTTTTAGCACCACATGTAAAAAAAAAAGTTCCATTAACTAAGAAAAGCCAAAGGAAAACGAATTATAGATGTGATGTTTGGACGTTTGCATCCTTCCGCGACCTCAGGCAAGCAAAAAAAAAAAAGACAATAACCAAGGAGCTCAACGTCAAAAGCGTTTTTTTTTTCTTGGAAAGAATTACAAAAATGTAAAGAAAGGAGGTTTTACAGATTCACGCGTTGTCTCCACTCTCCAAGTTCTTAGATGAAACTAGACACACACAAAAAAAAAACGTTTTGATTAATTCATTTTTAAAACAAAATATTTTACCTTTATATATGTTAGCAATCAATTGACAGCGTGTTCATATACAGCAGCAGGCGAGCACCCGTTGAACACGCCGAGTGAAGTGTCACTTCTTATTTTGAAAAAAAGCTTTTTGTGCTTAGGTAAACGGTTTAATCCGCTGTCACCGCAGAAGATCTTTTAAGTTAAAAAAAAGGGAGAAGTAGCAAAAATAGGTTCTAGTACATACATGTATCGTACGGTAGGGTTTGTGTGCCTGCCACTCAAACTTGTCATTCCTTAATAACGAACAAGATGTGTCGAAACGAAAGCACGCGCGAAGAGACCAATAGTTGTTGCGCATTTCTTGCTTAAGACTGCTCCTCCGAGGCGATGACCGAGTTCGGTGCCGCAGCGGGTGTGTTGGACGTGGCGTCGAACTTGTTCAGCCACTTCTGAAAGATGGACAGGGCTTCCACATCCTTCGGATCGACGGGGTCGCAGATGCGGGCAGCGGGAATCAGGACAAACACCAGCGGGAGGGCGAGGAAAGGCGTGATGAGGTGACCGGTGACAATGAGCCAGCGTAGGTTGCTGAAGTCGCATGGGACGTCGGAACGGATCGGCCACACCGTCTCCATCAAAACCGCGGCAATCGCGGACGACGTCGAACACCCCAAGTTGCTGAAGCTCGCCAGGATGGCAAACATCGTGCTCTCGCAGCCTTTCGGACACATACGGGAGATCAGCATGTTCAGCGGCATGAAGTTCAGCATGTAGCACACCTGGTACACAACAGCATCGCCCATGATGTACATCGCGTGATCTGGAATGCCGATGTACAGGTTCCAGCGCTCGACCATGATGATGTCGAACACGCTTGCAAAGATCTGAATCACCATTGTGAGACCAACACTAACCCGGTAGCTCTGCTTCGAGAAGATGCGCGAGAACATGTACACACCGAAGAGACCGGCAACGTTGCCGATGACCGCGCCGACGGTGTTGTAGAACGTCTGCGAGAAGTGGGGGCCATCAGGAAGACAGTCTGCGTCTGCCATGTAGAAGTTGTCCGTCGCACCGGTAATAATGATGTAGGAGAGATTCTGGCACCACCCGTAGAGGTTTGCCTTCATGATCGTCACCGGGATGCAGAGGAAGCCGGTGGAGCACAGCACGACAGAGATCGCCACGCAGCCGTACAGCAGCTGATAGGTCGTGCCGATGACGCTGAGAATGGTCAAGGCGACGGCACTCATAGTGAGGATGGCACCGTACATGGCGACGGAGGTGTTGCGTAAGATGACTTCTTTATTCACGCCAAAAATGCCGCACATGCACGTGGGCACCTCGAAGTCAACGTTCATCTCCTCCTCCTCTTGTGTCTCGTTGTCCAGCTCACCAAACTGAACCAGCTCGTTCGGGCCGTCTTCCTGAAAACTGAATGCGCTGTCAAACGGCGGCGGAACCTTCTCGTTGTCCGGTGCGTTGCCATGCACGTCCTTGCTATTGTTAAAGGGCTCCAGGTCCGTCTCCCGCTTCTTTAATGCCTCCTGTTTCAGCAGAAACGCGTGATCCTCGCGGCGCTCCACGACGTTCTTCTTCTCACCGTACCAGTTGAAGAGGAAGAAGAACACACACACCGCCTGCAAAGCGGCGGAGAGGAAGATGCCGATGGTAGGACGGCCAGAGTCCGACAGCGGTCCCTGGATGGCTGGGGCGACAATCTGACCTATCAGGACCAAAGCCCAGATCCACGAAATGAGATCGGCACCCGGGACAGGTTGGCGTTTGATCAGGCGGCTGTAGTGGCCTTCCGACATCACATCGGTGTTGGCAATGCAGAAAGTGGATAGAAAGATCATCGCACCTGCGATCCCGGCGCTTGACTCTTTAAATGGCAACACGCCGAACACCACAGTGCACACGGCTCCGGCGATGCACGAGAGCGCCATGTACCACCGCTTCGTGTAGCCAAAGAAGGAGAAGGTGTCGCTGAGAACGGCGGAGAGCGGCTTGATGGAGAAGCCCATGGAGCTGATGCCATACATGCGCTGGTACACCTCCGTCGTGACACCGTACTTCTTCATGAACATCGCGTACTGGGCGGTCGTCAGCAACGTCTTGCCGATGCCTTTGTTGAGAATGTAGACGATGCCCAGCGATGTCACGCACTTGGGTCCGAAAGGCTCCACTGCGTTGCCGAAGATGGGGATCGCCCTTGTGCACGGAACGACGGAGAAAAGCGCTGCGGAGTCAGGGTGGACATAGCCGGGCTCATCAATTGCCGGCTGGCGAGCCAAAGTTGGCATGCCGACGTCATCGCCGCCCACGATGTTGCCAACAGCAGCCTCAGTTGTCATGGCGTACAAAGGGAATGAAAGTAAGAAGGGGGAAAATGAGTTGTTTTGAGGGTCGCAGAAAGACCAAGGTAAAAAGTGCTTCGTCCTTGTCTTGTTAGCTTTACGGTGACCCAATGATAAATGAGAGAAGTAGATGAATAACGGTACAGAGGAAGAGAAGTAACGGCGTTAAGCACGACGAAGAAAGTCTTTCGCTGCGCGCGTTGCAAAGCAACCATTTCTTACTACCAAACATTGTGCCGCGGAGGCAGTGAGCTGACGCAGAAACTGACGGGAGCAGTCGAACTTGCGAAGTTATGGAGATGAGATGAAAAATACATATATACGTTTTTTCTCAAGATAAATTCACTTTATATAACTGAAGAAAAAAGATAAGTAATGAAGACAAATGTTGAGAGGTGCTAAGAAAAGAGAGGAAAAAATGCCACCACATGACAAGTGTAGAAAAGCGACTGCGTTTTGCAACTCATCTCGCTCCTTCAACAACTGTAACTTGACGAAAACATTTTAATATTAAAACCCTTTAAGTGTTAAAAAATTCTTTTTGGTTTTCCGTTCCCAAACAATGTAAAGCAAGACTTGAGTCTGGCGACACAAACGCTAGCCCTAAACATCTTAAGTTCTGCAGTGGTGATGCCGCACCAATGCGATTTGCTCAGCGAATGACAGCAAACGACAGAGGAACGCATGGGACACACCAAACACTGAAAACAACAGTCAGAAAAAAGGCAAAAAAAAGAGAAGTTACTCAAAAAAAACCCTTTTAGAAACCTGATTTTCCTCATATAATTGCGTCTGATTTCATTGCGGAATAGAAAAACAAAGGTAGTTTGAATTACAAGAATGTTCTACTTCGCGCACTTTTCCCTCCGAAGCTCTCTCATTACCACTTTACCGCTTTCGAAGGGTAGAGTTGCCAATGTAGTCAACAAAACATATGGAGAGAGAACGAGCGAATTGGTGTAAAAGAAAAGGCAGCCGCAATTGAGAGACTGAAGCAACTCCCATAGCTGCGGCGAAATAGAATGCTATTGGGATCAGTAACTCTCTGTAGCGATTGCCTCATCCTAACTTCCACTTCTTGTACTTTCTGTGAGTAGCCTTATAAGCGTCACTGCGCAACTTGAGCTGGTTAAAGAAAAAAAAAAGGCAGAGAAGACGCATCATAAAACTGCATGCAGAGTCAGACTGCGGAAAAAAAAGAAAGATAATTCTCACCATTTACACATGGTGCGAGAACGAAACAATGGAAGAAGAGAAAGGGGAGAGGGGAGAAGACAAAAATGTTTATTTAACGAGCCACGTAATGGACCTTGTCGTGCGCCCGCTGACCGCTACAGAGACGGTGCGTTGATACCCTGAGTGAAGAAGGTGGCAGAGATGATGGCGGTGATGACCAGCGTGAACACCCACCCAGCGTACATCTTCAGCACCATCATCCAACGGATGTTGAGGAAGCTCACGTCCACCACGCTGATTCCGACAACACCACCGGTGATGCAGTGTGTGGAGGAGACGGGAATGCCGTAGCCAGAGGCAAACGACACCACCAACGCCGCCGACAGCTCCGCCGAGAAGCCGCGGCTCGGTGTGATGACGGTGAGGTCCTCACCCAGCAGGCGCATCAGGCGCATGCCAAACGTGGCCAGGCCCACCACGATGCCCGCACCACCGAGGCACAACACCCAAATCGGCACAGAGGTGTTCTTCGAAACGTCGCTGCTCTGGTACACCTGGTAGATGGCGGCAAGCGGGCCCACCGCGTTACTGACATCACTGGCGCCGTGTGCAAACGAGGCGCAGATGGCGGTGAAGACCTGCAAGTAGCGAAACACACGCTCGGCGCGCGAGTCGTACACCTGCACCTCGAGCCCGCTCGCACCGGTGATGCGGTTCTCCTGCGGCGCCTCCGCGTCCGAGGACTCCGACTCGGTCACGACATCGCCCGTCACCTCCTTCGGCTTGGGAGCCTCCTCCAACGCAGTCGGCTCGCGCTTAAGTCCATCCTCAATGTTGTTCTCAGCGCCGTTCGGCTGCTCTGATGCCGCCGCAAGCGCGCGTGCCTCGTCACGTGCCACCAGGCGCTTCAAGAGAGGAATGAAGGCACAGGAGATCAGACCCGCGCAGCCACCGATGCACGCGGCGACGCAGGCGGCCTTGTCGACCGACCAGTGGAGACGCTTTGACGCACCTTTGTAGAGGACGAAGAAGGACTCCAGGAAAAACGCGACGGCGACAATGATGGGCAGGGTATACATGGCACGCTTCGCCGCATTCGCAGGGCGGAGCACAAAGAAGCGTACGGTGCCGTACACGAGAGCAGACACCGCACCAGTGAGCAGAGGCGAAATGAACCACGACGCAATAATCGGCGCAACACCGCTGACAAACGGGAAGTCGTCCTTCCTCGCGGCCCAGTTTACCGCGTCTCCACCACCGAAGACGAGCGCAAAGCCGAGCACACCACCGCAGATGCTGTGCGTCGACGACACGGGGAGGCGCAGCCAGGTGGCGACGGCAAGCCAGCAGAAGGCCGCCCCACACGCGCAGAGCATGCCGTACATGAAAACGTAAGGCTTGCCCTTAAAGTCGCCGGGATTAGCGATGCCGCCCGAAATCGTGGAGGTCACCTCGCCGCCAAGCGAGACGGAGCCAGCAAACTCGCAAATTGAGGCGAGAATAACAATCTGAGAGAAGGTGAGAATCCTGGCGCCGTAGGTGGTGCCGAAAGCGTTCGCCAAGTCGTTCATCCCGACGCCGGCGCCGGTGAGAAACGACACGAAGGCGCCGACGACCACAATCCACAGGTAGGGGTTGATGTCTGCCATTGTTCTGTATTTGCAGATGCTGTTCGTATGTAATGAATTGACAGGTACAGACCTTTTTATGATCAATGTGCAGAGAAAAGAGAAGATTTAATTATGTATATGCAGTTTTTCTTCTGTTAGTTCGAGCTGTGTGCGTTCAGAGAAATTAGAAATACGTGGCTCTTTAATGCTAAGTAATCGATTATATAGAAAAAACAGAGATAATCTTTCTCATGCAAAATTTACACAGTGAAAAAAAAAAAGGAGATAGTAATAGTTTGTGTGTAGCGCGAAGCACCATTATCACCAAAAGCTCTTAAGAACATGTGAATTTCCATTGAACACAATAGAGGATAGGCTTACTGGGCATCCCGGTGTACTCCAAACCTTTATTCAGATGAGACTTTCCATTTCACAGAAAATGTTCAACATATTGCTTGAGTTTTCTCAGCGCAGAATATATATTTCCTTTTGCGCAGAATCATAATTAAAAGTCAGTGTTCTAGCCGACATACAAAGAGAGAGCTATATATTGATTGCATACGTCTATATCTACACTGCTGATGCTTTACGATGGCGAATTCATTTCAAAAAATGAGAAAGCCCAGCTGGTACATGCGCAATATTTTTACACCGCGTTAAGTCAAGTACTTTTAGATGCTGACACGTTTCCAAGCCTCTTACGTCGCAAACACCGCTGCCCTTCGCATAAACTTTACATAGAGACGGTGCTTCCGCAAGGGGAGAAAGAGAGTGGAGATGATCGCAATGATTGAAGTAAACGTATTGCAGCGTTTTGCATGAATTAAGGCCCTCTATCACCCGCACACCGCTGCAGGCAGCCTTGACGGTGTGTAAAAAGGGAGCTCCGCTAACGGGTGAGATATCCTCTAAATCACTGCTCCAGCTGACATCCAGCTCGCTTAGAAACGGACAGGCTGCCAAGCCGCTGATGTTCCGCACTGCACTGCCTGAGACGCAGAGGATGCGTAGCTGTGGCGCACCACATAATGGCGAGAGATCGAATAAACGATCGCAGTTGCTGAAGTCAACAGAATCGAGCACCGGGCAGGAGCTAAGACCGTCCAGTGAACACACACCGCTTCCAGAGGCAACGATTTTGCTTAAATTTGAGCAATTGGCCAAACTTGATAAAGTTGTGAGATCTCTGCACCACGGCACAAATATACACTCCAAAGTCTTTGAAGAAGCGAAATTGGGCAGCTCCGACAGTGCAACTTCAATAATAACGGCTTTACGAAGATGAGCAATTTCTGTGATGCTCGCGACGTTTCTCAGCGAAGAGGAATGAACGCTTATGAGCTCTAGGCGAGGGCACTGCAAAAGGGCGGAAATGCTTAGCAGTTCGGTGCTGGACACATACAATTGTCGAAGACAGCACGCTGAGTCAAGTTGACTCACATCAAGCCATCCCATTGTCCCGTGTATGTGTAACTCTTCTACATGCGGCACAGTGCGTAACACTTGGAGGTGTGCAATTGAGAAATTGCGCAGACGAAGTGTTTGAAGTCGTAATAACTTCGACGGCGCGGTGGCAAGTGAGACAAAGGCAGCAGCTGACAGCGCTAGCTCCTGCAAAACTGGAACTAGCTTGTCTGAAACCGTCACAGAGGTCAGTGCGTCACCTCCCACAATTCTGCAGATTTTTGCGTCACCGAGTTCTGTAAGATCGACGTCTCCTATTAGAAATCCTAAGTCTAGACAGATTGGAAGAGCACAGCGGCAGAGCCACCACAAAATTGGCTTCAAGGCCGCAGCTACAGTTTCAATACCAAACGGCTTTATCACACTCACAAGCTGATCATCTTTCCACGCGAGTGTCACAAACACATTGCTGCTGAATCTGCTCTCGAGGAGTTCCGCGAATAACCGTGCTCGTGGGTGAGACGCCAAGAACGCCAAATTACTGCGCGTCCCATAAATCTGCACGATTTGGGCAACAGGATCGCAACGCTCCAAAAGCAGACTCTGCTGCACGCTGCCTTTCTGTAAGCTGTTGTTCTGTGCGGTGGCTGAATGTCGATGCCAGTCTTCAAATTCTTTGAGAAGCGCTGTCAGAATGGACGCGCAAGATGTTGATCTTGGCCTTTCTGTTGACGTGACGTCCATCACTAGAGCGCGTGATTGCTAATGAAAAGGCGTTCTGCTTGGTTCAACGCGGCTGCCACAGGTTGTGGTAAAGGCAAGAAAAAAGAACTGAACTTATAATTGAGTTTCAAGTAAGATGGAACAGCAGTGAAGTATTTTGAACGCGCTGTATTTGCTTACGCGCAAAAAAAAAAAGAAATTCCAACTGATGCGGTTAAAATCGCAAGGATGTGCTGAGTCTCTCTTGAGATTGATTACTGGAGCGAGCACTGCGACGGAAAAGCAGCCCTGCGGGTTTGCTGCAAAGGGCAGCTGTGAAGCCGTGGGAATGGCTCACCACTACCGCGAACTTTTTGCGGTTGAATAGATTCGTTGATTTCTGGTGGAAATCCCTCTACTCTTCTGCAATCTGACAGCAATTTCGTGTGAGTCGAAAGGGGCGTTGCTTGGCTTGTGAGATGAACAAGAAGAAGAGGGGCGGAGAAGGGACAAGGAGTAGAAGCAAGGGAATCAGAAGAGAGCGGGGAGGGGGCAGGGTAACAACTGGTATCTCTTTGCATCAAAAATACTGTAGAAGTTTCCTTTCTGCTGATGAAGAAAGAAAAACGTAGTACGCTTGAATAAAACTCCTTTCGGACTCAAATTCATGACTCCAATCTTAGGAGGAACTTTTTGCATTGACATGTATCATGGAGCTACTCCCACCGTATTGAAACTAACACGGTTCGAAGACTTCTATCAATCTTCTTCACATTCGTTTCTACTGTGGTTCATGGTTCTTGAACTGAATAACCCACACCCTACAAATCATCACCTACCAACAGGTCAAACCTTTACATGAGAATTACATAAATTTATCTTTCTTGGTTTTACAACACACTGTAAATATCAATAGTTAAATACATGCAAAGAAAACAAACTATTCAACAGACTCTACGAAGTGGGTAGCCCGCCTTACGCTTCCCCGCTGGGTGAATGGGGAGTTCAGGGTTGGGCGGGTGGGAAAAACTAAAAGATGGAAGAACTGCTGAATTCTAGCAGTTGAGAAAGAGAATACAAGAAAAGGGGAAAAGAGAGAGGTAGGATGAATAATTCTTCAGGCTAGGTCATTCTATTCGCAAGCTCCAAGAAAATGGAGCTCCCTAACTGTCTCTTAAGTTCTTCTTTATCTCGCTGTTCTTCTTCTCTGTTCCCTTTTTGCGATACAACCTACGCACTTAGCAATTCTTCCATTTCTTTTGCACATTTCTTTAGCATTCAAAGCAGCAAACACTCGCACAATCCAACAAACTTGCAGAAAAAAAAACACAAAATATCTCCCCTCCGAACTTTCCTTCGCAATGCCGTCCTCTGCTGTTGACAAGTCTATCCGCGTCTACTACCGCGGTAACAAGTACGACATTCCTGAGGAGTTTGCCACCCGGATGCATCCTGGTGGAAAAGACATCCTGATGCGCTACAAGGACAGCGACATCACGGAAGACTTCGAGAAGACGCGGCATACCGTGGACGCTGTTGTGATGTTAAATTCATGGACTGCTGGCAGTGTTGACTACGCCATTCCCATGAAATCAGTGTCGATATTTGAATCTGACAACGGGTGCGAAGAAACAGAGACGAAGGAAAGCGAGAAGACGAAACGCTGGAATTGCCTCGCGATAGCGTTCGGCATCGCATCGATCGTTGCAGCCATGCAGATGAGAAAACACTAAAAATATCATAGTACTGATTCTGTTTTGCTTTTTTGTTTTTGTTTCTACTATCAGTTCAATATACGCGCAATCCATTTTTTTCTTGTATTACTCGCGTGAACTTGAAAATAGGTTGTTCTGGAGCGAAAAGCTTCTCAACTTATCCCTCGACCCCTCTCACTGTAACGCTCTCCTTATAAATTGTTTGTGGAGCACTTTTATTCCTTCATGACACCTGTTTGTGTTTGTAAATCCTATCTTTTCTTTTCTGTTGATTTTCAGTATGCACGAAGTCTGTGCTTCATATATTTTCTTTATGTTCCAACTGTTCTTTTTCGGCAAGACGTACATGCTGTTCGCATATAACTTTTTTATTGTTTAAGCTGTGATTACTGGCGTAGCAAAAAAAAAAATAGGAAGAAAAACACTGGTTCACAAAGGAAAACGGCTCACTTATATACAAGCAAATTCATTCGCGCACAGCAATGCGAAAGTGCTGTTCACATTGTTGTTGGCGCAGTTCTTAATGCTTTCAGTAACATCAGGTTGTTTTTCTTGCGCAAAAAGAACGATAGTATCTTGTGACGAAATTAATGGCAGTTTGAAAGCCTCAACTGTGCATTTCTCTCGGGTATTTGTTCAAGGATTGCAATGATCCAAGTTCAGTGAAGCACCTCGAGTAGATGAAAGAACATCTCATCTGTTTTCTTAAAATGCTCGATGACACTTCCTCACGCTTTACAATTCGTTTTTCACTTGCGCGTTTTATTTCCCGTTGAAATTAATATATACCTTCAACTCGCTGCTTTCTCGAAATCCAATTACATGGATGCACAGCCACGCCATTGACAGGTTTTACATCATTTCGAATCATTACTGAGCAGGGAGAAATTCAGACAGACGTTTTGCTTACAAAAGGATCTAAGTGCAGAGACGTTTTTTTTTTAGTAGTTTCTTTTCTTACTTGCTACACACTATTTTCGCCATGTCTTCACCGAACGGAAAATACCTGATGTTGTACTCGACAACAGACGGCCACACCAAGACGATCATGGACACGATGGCGAAGCACATTATGGAAGAGGCGAAGGTGCAATGCGATGTGGTTGATATGAGGGACGGGGACAAGTACGAACTCGCCGCGTACGAAAAGGTCATGCTCGGAGCTTCGATCCGGTACGGATTCTTCAGCAGGACGCTGCACACCTACACCACACATCACGTTGACGAGCTGAACTCGATGCCCTCCGCGTTCTTCGGTGTCAACCTTACCGCGAGGAAGACAAGCAAAAACACAGCGATGACAAATGCGTACACGCGCAAATTTCTGGACCAATCGATGTGGGTGCCACAATTATCGGGGGTCTTTGCTGGCGCTCTATGGTATCCGCGGTATAACTTCTTTGATCGAGTGATGATTCAATTTATCATGAAAGTAACCGGCGGTGAGACAAACACAACAAAAGAAATTGTCTACACGGATTGGGATGCGGTTCATAAATTTGCTACCGACTTCGTACAGCTACCGGCGACGGCTATTCCTCGCTCCAAGCCCGCGACCTCAGTGCCGCCAGCGAGTGTTGCAAACTACGATAATGGTGCTCGTGTGGCGCTTGTCGTCGTTGGCATTTCAGCAGCCATTATCTTCGGTCGCCGCCTCATTCTCGCGAAACGGTTTTAGAGCGGCAGCAAGCATGCTTTGCAGATTCGTGAGCTGAGGGAAATACTTACACACATTTTTATCATCTTAGTAGAGTGAAATGCGTTTAAAGGTAATTATGAGGTCTTAATCACGGCCTTTGTAGACCGGTTTCTCTCGTTTTGATCACCCTCGCAAGCACATTATTGTGTAACGTCATCCAACGCTTGCAGCGTGACGAATATCAAAGAAAGCAATGGGCGCAACGTCGCTCAACTTCAAGCTGCCTCGCCTCTTCTGACAACTGCAAGCTGTGTAACCATCACTGCAAGAAAAAGAAGCTCGCTTCTTGTGTATTGCTGCTTGTACTTCAACAGTCTTACATCTGCTGCTGTGCGTAAAACTCAAACATCCTGCGAAGGGGGAAACCTTGTTTTACGCAGCGTTTGTCTGCATTCAGACTCTTAATTTCGCTTCTTTCCTTTCTCTCCCTTCTCGTGGCGATCCGCAGTGTTAACGTTAAATCCGTCAGTCATTTTTTTTTTCTAGCTTCAAACCGTTCGTACACCCGTTTCTCTTTGCGAACCTTCGCCACAACTGTGGTTTCCTCCTTCTTTCGTTGGCGTCAGACTCTACTTCACAATGCCTATTGCGACGGCTGAGGTCAAGCAGTTCCTGCTCAACTTGCAGGACAAGATCTGCCATGCTCTTGAGCAAGCCGACGGCAAGGCAAAGTTTATTGAAGAACAGTGGCATCATGCGGGTGGCGGCGGTGGTGGCCGCACGCGTGTGATCTCCAACGGCGCGGTCATTGAAAAAGGAGGCGTGAACTTTTCGCACGTGTCCGGAAAGGGGCTGCCGCCGTCTGCGACGGAGAAGCGTCCCGACATGGCCGGCTGTGACTTCCAGGCAATGGGCGTCTCGCTGGTCATTCACCCCACCAACCCGCATGTGCCAACCTCGCACGCGAACGTACGCTTGTTTGTGGCCGAGAAGGAAGGCAAGGAACCTGTGTGGTGGTTTGGGGGCGGCTTCGACCTCACTCCGTACTACGCCGTGGAGGAGGACTGCCGCGAGTTCCACCAGGTGGCACACAAGCTGTGCGAGCCGTTTGGTCCCGACGTTTACTCGCGCTTCAAGAAGGGGTGCGACGAGTACTTCTTCATTCCGTACCGCAACGAGGCGCGCGGTATCGGCGGTCTGTTTTTCGACGACCTCAACGAGTGGCCGTTTGAGCAGTGCTTCAAGTTCATTCAGGCTGTGGGGCAGGGCTACATTGACGCCTACATTCCGATTGTGAACCGTCGCAAGAACACACCCTACACGGAGCAGCAGGTGGAGTTTCAGGAATACCGCCGTGGCCGGTACGCGGAGTTCAACCTGGTGATTGATCGCGGCACAAAGTTTGGCCTCCAATCCAACGGCCGCACGGAGTCCATTCTGATGTCGCTGCCGCCACGAGCGCGGTGGGGCTATAACTGGCACCCTGAACCTGGAACGCCCGAGGCACGGCTGACGGAGTACTTCTTGAAGAACCGCGACTGGGTTTAAAACATTACCGACTTTCAATCCTCATAATAAAATAGCAGTAACACTCTAGCGTTGAAACCCAACGTTTTTGAGGTTTTCTAGGTTTTACTTACTCGAAGCACTTGACAAAAATGGTTTCTCAACTACGATGGTATCAGAAGTGGAAAGCTGTCTATGGATTGTTTATTTTCACACTTTCCTACTCGTTGCTACTTTTCCTCTCTCGCTTCTTTTTACACCTTTCCATTATTAACCAAAATATTCCTTTCCCGCTGTCATTGTTACTACGTATTGCAAGTTAGCATCGTCAGTGCTGCACCTCGCTAACTTCATTTGTGCTCTAAAGTTGACAATTTATCTCGCATATCAATTCTTTTTTTCTTTACTTGTTCTAAATCAACGCCTTTTCTTTTTTCTGTCCTTCGGGATTTCTTTTGTTTCATACCTTTTTTCTTCTACGTGCTTTTTCTTTTTGTCAATTCCATAAAATCCACAAAAAAAGCACTCAATTCAACAAAGTTTTCTCCAACGTAACTCTCTAAGCGCAGCACACGCCCATTTAGAAACTTGACTACACATCATTTGTGAGGCAGGTTTCTCTCTTTTCTTTCCCTTCTACCACGCCCATGAGTTCGGGTCAGCAGCACCGAAGCGACGAGGCTGTCGTTGCGGAAGAGCAAGCGGCAGACCTTGTGCGCGATGAGTATGAGCACCCTGAAGCCACGAAGTGGTTCAAAGCTCTTCCATGCTTACGCGGTATTCCATTGTTTGGAGATGTGACGGCCGCGTTCGGGCCTCGCTTTGCGCTTTCGCTGGGTTTCTGTTACACGTTCTCGAAGGGTGCGTCGAGTAGCATCATTAGGCTTTCGCGCCAGCCGATGTTCGTCGGGCGCTACGGGGTTGACGCGGTGCGCTTCCAGCGTCTTTCCAGCATGTACGCCTTCGGCTGGTCTCTGAAGCCGTTCATCGCGGCCCTCACGGACGTCATCGCCTTGCTGGGGTACACGAAGCGGTGGTACATGGCTGTGTCCGCTCTCTTTGGCACCGCCTTCGCACTCGCGTACGCCCTTTTGCCGGCGAAGAAGTCGTCGGCGAACCCCGCCGGCGCCTTCATATTCCTGACGTGCTTGTGCAAAGCGAACATCGACGTGCTGTCGGAGGGGCACTTCAGTCGCTCCATGAAACAGAAGCCAAAGGTTGGCCCAGCTGTGGTGAGCTGGGTGTGGGCGATGACCTTCATTGGCACCGTGATCTCAGCGGCCATGATGGGGCCGTTGTCGGACGTGAAGCTCACCTACGTTGGCGTCATCGTGTCGGCTGGTTTGCAGTTCATCTGCTTCTTCTTCTTCATGTTCAACATGTATGACGAAAAAAAGAACCGCACCAACCGTCGCAAGGATGCGCTGGTGCTGTACCAGGCTCGCAAACACCTCGAGCGCGAGCCGGTTGGCAAGACGGTGCAGGACCAAGTGGTGGACGGCGCAGGCGAACCGGCGGTATATGAAGACGGCACAAACGGCTGCCTCGTCACTGGAGAAGCGAGTCTTGACCGTGACGACGACAGCGACGACGAGTTTGTGGAGCCGCACATCAACTCGTGCCTGCACGGCATCTTTGAGGTGAACGTGGACGTGGCCAAGACGAACTGGAAGCTCATTGTGTACTCGGTGGTGATGACGTGTGGCATCATCGCGATGGTCTGCGTCACCCTGTTCGGCACGAAGTGGCAACTGATGTACGCGTGCATCGTCGTTGCCGCCGTCTTCATCGCCGGTGCCTTCCTCACGCTTCCCCTCGTCATCGCAAAGGCCTCGGTTTTCATTTACTTCGACTCCATTTTGTACCTGCATATTCCCGGTGCGTTGTCCAACTTCTACGTCGCCGCACCCGCATGCCTGCCCGATGGCCCGCACTTCAACTACCTCTTTTACCAAACGGTCGGTTCACTCATCTCGGACTTTGGCGGTGTGTTGGGTGCCATTCTCTTCAACAAATTCTTCTCGCGGCACGGCTACGTGTTCGTATTCATTGCGACGACGATTCTGCGGGTTCTCGGCTCGATCTTCGACCTGATCATCGTGAAGCGCTGGAACATGTACATCGGCATTCCCGACCACGCCATGTACCTCCTTGGCGACTCCATTGTGTACCAGGTGTGCTTCGTTATGTCTCTGATGCCGGCACAGATTCTGATGGCGCGCTTGTGCCCGCGCGGAACGGAGGCGATTGCGTTTTCATTGCTGGCTGGCTTCTCCAGCGCAGGTACCTCGATGTCCCTCACAATCGGCTCGCTCATCATGGAAGGTATCTGGCCCGTCTCCGCGAAGTCGCCGTGCAACTTCAAGAATGTGCCGTGGCTCATCATCACTGGCCATCTCGTGATGCCACTGCTCGTCGTTCCTCTTGCTTTCGTGCTGCTGCCGCGGGCGCGAATTTGCGACCGCGTCGATTTCGATGGCAACGTCATCCGCGAGGAGGCTGATGTCTTTGATGAGCGCACCGCTCCCAGCGAGCACATCGCAGCAAACGCTCCTTCGGCAGCGCAGCACGAGGCACAGAAGAAGGATACGCACGACGACGAGGAAAACCCATCGAAGGTATGGTAAGACAAAGGCACCAATACACACTTTCACACAAGAGAGAAAACCCTTTCTCTCTTTTCACTTTTCCTCTTCGCTGATTGAGTGGCATCGCGTACGGCAAAGTCATATTTGCGCAAAACAGTCTTATAGTGACTACACCTTACGCTTATCACCAGTATATATCCTCTCTTTTCGTTTGTTAACTACCACCTAAGTAGCACGGAGACAATTTCTGGCTCTCGTACTCTCGTTTCCTTTTATTCCCCTCTATTGTTTGTCATAACTCTGTAATGTAACGTTTTTTTTTTCATTTTTGATTCGCTTCGTTTTTCATGTTTCCCTTTCGAAGATTCCCGACGCGCCGCAGCTTCTTCCCCATTTTATGAGCGCTAGTATAGTGGAGGAGCCTGTTCCGTAGAAAAGCTCTAACACTTTCGACCATTTCCTTCTCTTTGGAGTCTACCCGCTAGGAATGCCTCTTCAGCCTTTTTCCTCCTTTCACTAACCCCACAAGTCGTGTGTGTAGCATCTTAACATCTACCAGACACTTCTCAGCGAGCATCGCACGGGCAATTTTGTTTTATATCTCCGTGTCAAAAACGTAACGGTAACAAAGGACAACAACGACTATCAAACGAGCAGTACGACGCGCAGTGCTTGATTCTGCGTACCGAGGCGAGAGAAGAATTTAGGAAAAGGAGCGCGGCAATTCTGAGTCCGCCAGTTCCCTTGTTCCGCCAACTGCCGGTAGCTGCGCGCTTGGGAAAGGAACTTTATGCCGGAAGCGGCGCGGGTTTCACCACCTTTAGCCCGGCGTGTCTTTCTCAACCCGGCATGCACACCGCCAACTCTTCTCCCTTCCCTCTCTTCTTCTTTTTCTGTTTCTGCGGGGTGGCGGGGTACGAAAAAATATGTATGTGTGTGGCGGGCTGGCCGCCGGCGGGGGACGCGGGAAACACAACAGAAAGGGGGATGCGGGGTGGTGTGAGGGGAAAGTGGGGTTCAGGTCCGCCGCTGGGAGGGCCGGCGCCCTCTTCAGTTTCTCTGCAACCGCTTGCCCTTTCTCGAGGCATGCGAGAAACGGACGCCGGAAGCGCAAAACTTGTGCTGCCAAATACATTTCTTTCAAAGCATAGTTTTTCTTCTTGGTACACTGAACAGCGAGCGGCAATCGTAACGGCAGAGAAGAGCGAGAAAGGAATCCAAGTGGATTGTCGAGTAAAAGCAACAACAATAGGAAGCGACAGCATCAGACCTACGCAGCGCCACGGTATACATACGTATCGCGGAGGGGCTGCTCACTTTCTCTGCGGCGGCATGCGGCCGGTTGCCAGCCGACGCGTCAGGGGATCGCTGAAGACACCGGCAGCGACGCCGCCAGCTGGCAAGTCGCGCTGGGTCGGAGGCATGAGAAAGTCCTCGTTCACGGCGTGCTCCATCGGGCACTCGCATCCGACTGTGAGGCCCTTCTTGCGCGTTGGTTTGCGCACGTAGTGGTCGTAGAAGGAGGTAGGTCCATTCGAGGCTCGATCAACACAGGCCTGCGTCTCGCTGTCGTACTGCGCTTCGTTGATAGGCTGCATTAGATAGTCGCTGTCCAGCGTCGCGCACACACGGTTGTAGGCGAGGTAGTTTGACGTCGTCGGCGGCGAAAGAACGTTTATGGTGACACCGACCTCCTTGCAGTCCATCAGCACAACGGGCGGGCTAGGACGTGTGTCCGCGCCGGCCATTGAGATTCTTTTTTGTTTTGTTTTTGATGCTCCACCTCAGAAGGGCCGGAAGGCAAAGAAAGAAAGGAAAAAAGTCAGAATAAGAAGCACTGAAACAGCGAGGAAAAGAAAGAGAAGTTGAAAATGTGTATTACCGCGTTGAGAGATGATTATGGAAAATGGAGTACCCACTGCGACGCGGGTGAGGTAGGGTTGAGAGGGCCAACGGCGGAGAAAAGGTAAAGCGGAGACAAAGAGAGAGGCAGAGAAGACGTAGAAACAGTTGTGAGCAAGCTGCACCGAACACGAGAAAAAACGCTGTTTTAGTTTGACAAAGATGACTACAGAAGTATGGACTGCCCTTGTCCCCAGCTCAGGGTGGCTTGTGAGTGAACCAGCATGTCAGCGCATGCCTAACAGCGATCCCACAGCCCCGTGTGTGCCGCGCACACAGAGACAGGACATGCGCAGACGGCTCAGCCCCGCGACACCAGTCCTTCTTGTTGCTAAGGCGGATAACTTGTTCGAGGATAAAATCATTCATAAAAAGAAAAAGAGCACATATGCGTCAGTGTATGTTCATTTGACAAGGGAAATCCCCACGTCGGTTTCGCGGCGGGTACGCGCTTAACGACGGCGGCGGCGGATCATCGTCTTCTTCTTCCGGGCCTGGAAGATGATGCCGTCGTGGACCTTCTCGAACCACTTCATGGCCTCCTCCTTCGTCACGTGGTGGCTGTGGCCGACGCGGCCGCACTTGCGCTTGCGGTGCGCGACGCGCTCGCCACGGCGGCCGAGGACGACGTAGAAGTCCATCCCGTAAATGCCGGTGGAGGGGTCGTACTTGATGCCGAGGTCGATGTGCTCGCTGATGCCGAAGCCGAAGGAGCCGGTGTCGGAGAAGTTGTAGCTCTTCAGCTCGAACTCCTTCACCTTGAGGCCCTTCTCGAGCAGGTCCTCCGCCTTCTTGCCGCGGACGGTGCAGTGCACGGCGATCTTCTCGTTACGGCGGATGCCGAAGGTGCGCACGGTCAGGCGGGCGCGGGACAGCACGGGGGTCTGCTCGCACAGCTGCTCGAGCACCTTCGAGGCACGGGTCAGACGATCGCCGCTCTCACCAACGCAGATGTTGATGCAGAGCTTCTTCACGACGATCTCCCGCATGGGGTTCGCAGCCTTGCTCTCAGCGACCATTTTCGTGGGTTTTCTGACTCAACGAACTGCCCGTTGCGTTCGAACAGTTGGGAAAGCGCGCAGGAGGTGTTGGACGATTTGAACAAGGGAGGCAGCGGCGCAAAGAAGGGAGAGAAAACCGCATGTACAGTTCAAGGAGAAAAAAAAATAGGCGAAACGGAAGACGAGGGGAGGCGCAGAGGAGAAAAGATTGCCGCAAGGGGACGCAGAGGCGTGAGAGGGGAGAAAGGGGAGAAAGGGAAAAAGGACGTGAAGCCGCATTTCCTCTTTTTCTTTTCTGGCATCACAGGAAGGACCGGAAATGTGATTCGGGGAATCAGTGGGCAAGAAAGGATAAGAAACGAAGAACGCTAATGCACCTCAAAGCACTTTTACACAACAGACAGACTTTAAAAAACTTGACTCATTAGTAGTATCTTTTTTCCCTTTTCTACGGAGCAGTAACAACGATGTAAAAGATCCTTTCCCTTAATCCCAACGACTCGATGTCACCGTAAACTCAACAACGGTCACCAATGGAGAGAAGGTGACTTTCTTTACCTTCTTTTTGATCTGAACCTTTTCGGGACGGCACGGTTCGGCACACCAAAAGGTGCGTTCTTGTTGTCCCTTACATGCATACACGGACATTCGCACCATGCTGCGAGGTCGCTGGCGGTGATGACGACGCTTCGACCTATCCAGTTTGTTCTGTCGAGAGAAAGAGGGCGGCGACGGCGGTTTCTGATGTGCCGCCTTCAACAGGCTGTCCCACAGAACCGACACAGGGCTTTCGCTGTTCATCAGCTTAACGCACGCTGCGGTGCCACCGGGTGAGCACGCGTATCTTTCTGTTTTTTACGATACGCTTTTCCAAACGACACTGATGCGCACCAATGAGAGAGAAGGAGAAAAGAGAGGAAATTGGAGACGAAGGAGCGCAGCAATCCAGCTGTGTCGGCAAAGTGAAAAAAAAAAGGGAAAGACCGGCAACGACGTCATGTACCTGCGCTTCCTCTCGTTGCTCCAATGAGAAGGGGTGATACGTAAATAGAGTGCGTTCGCAACTCCACACGGGGAGAGAACGGGAAACAACCTTCATGTTTTCTTTTTGTTCTCGTTGCTGTTGCGCTGCTGACGCATTCAAGTATTGTTTTTGGAGGCGGTTCAATAAAAGACGGGCAAGAGGCAAAACAGCGTGCGAAAGGGTGCGGAGGGCGCGCACGAGCAAAAACCAACAACAACAGCAGTAGCAGCAACAACAGAACCAAGAATCAGCAGCCGTTACGCTTCCCCTCTGCGCCGCAGCGTGGTCCAAGCCGGATTACGCTGGCGTTTCTTCTGCCTTCGCCGACACCAAATCCGTCGGCACGAAGCCAAAACGAGATGCCCAGTACAGCTTGTCGGCGTAGAGCGATGGGTCTGCGGTCGCGTCCACATACTGGTACGTCAGTTCTTTGCCACCCTCCACTTCCTCTGTGGCCCGCACCACAACGCAAAAGGCATAACTCTTGAAGGAGTCGTTCATCAAGTCCATGCGGCTGTGCCTTCTCAGCAATGGCCCAATGCGATGCGTGGACTCGGCATAGACGGCGATGTTCGGCGGCCGGCTGTCGTGATTGATGAGGTCCGCCACCGGTACGAGCGCAGGGCCACCAAAGAACTCTTCGCTGCCCGGAACGTCGAGGCAGCGACTGGCGCACAGGCGGTGAGCCCTTTGCAAGTCAGTCAAAGGAACCGCCACGCCGTGGCCGCGCAGATCGCTGTGCATGTGCTCCACCACTGCACCATTCAACGCCTCAATAACCTTCAACTGCGTGGCCAGCGCAGGGCCCAGCGCGGACGCCAGCGATGCTGCATCTATCGCGTTCAGCTCGATGTGGCGCAGGTAGTGCTCTAAAGGACTTCGGGGCTGCATTGCGAGTGCCGTGAAGGCCGTTGTTAGCGCGCCTTCTTTGGAGTACTCCACCCGCACCCCGCCCTCTTCGAGCGCGTAGCTGCTGATCGCAGCGCCGAGCTGGCTGCCCCAGGGAGAGGCCAGCGCCATAATAGGCGACGTGCACGCCAGATACGGCACAACGGCCAGCACTTCGCCGTCTTCGATGACGTCCGCCGCCCTGCACGCCAATCCCGAGCACCCTTTGCCGTCGATGAACCTCCGCTCCACCGACGGGGCCAACATAACATTTAAACGTGCGCAGATTTGCCTCCACATTCGGTGTTCTTCGATTCCTTTTCCTTCTTAAATACAAGGCTGTCAACAGCGAAAGAAAACCCTTTCCTGGGAGGTGCGCTGATGACAGCTGGGTGAGAACAGTGGAAGGATGAAAGATGATGGAGGAAGCGGAAATGGGGGGAAAAGAGAGGCGCCGCTGAGGTTCCACTGCATCCAGACAGTGAGAGAAGATCAGCGATCCGAGAAAAGGAAAGAAGCAGCGGCATTCATGCATGCGCTCGAGAGCAGTGAGAACGTTTCGGAGATGCCGGAGGAGAGAGAGTGGCAGAGTGCACCTCTAATACGCAAATTGTGGCTCGTTGCAAACATACTATATATATTTACCCCCAAGCTCGGCTATATGGACTGGACGCATCGCGGGAAGACAACAAGAGTCAAAAAGCGTAGCAACGAAGAACACCAAAAAGAAAACAAGGCTGCATCCAGTACCACGTAGCAGCGAATCACATGCATGGACAGGAGACACCAGATTACGCATTGGGCATACACACAGGCAAACGCAAAACAACACCTCTTCCTGAATCGCGAGACTTCTTCATACCCCGTTTGTGCGGTCTCCTTCTTGGCTGGAGAGGACGGAGCGCAGCTTGTCGGAGCGCTCGCGCTGCCGATGCTCCACCGACTCGAACCGCTTCAGCAACGCCTCCTTCGCGGCGTCGCTGCCGACGGAAGCGAACTCCGCAGGCCGGCGCTCGCGCACGTCGCCTCTGTCGCCGCCGTCGACGCTGCTCAGGCGGTATCGCTGCGCCATTTCGCGCTCCTTTTCACGGTGCATCCGCTCCAACTCGCGCTCCTGTTGCATGTGTGCGTTGGAGAGCTGCTGCAGACGTTCCATGAAGCCTTCCGACAACTTCTCCCGCTCCGCCGCGGCTTGCTCCGACATGCGCTGGAGGGCCGCGTCGTGGGCACTGCGCAGCTCCGCCTCCCTCGCCTGCAGCCGGCGTTGCAGGTCCTGTTCCTGCTGGGCCAGGGCTGCGCGGATGGCGGCCTCCCGTTCTCGCAACTCCTGTTCACGGTGGGCGATGTCCTCTAGCAGCGTTTCCTCACGTGCGCGGTACCGCAGCTCCGTGGCCTCTGCCTCCTGCCGCAGCTGCACCCGCGCCGCCTCCTTATCCCGCTCCAGCTGCTCTTTTCGTTCGCGTAATTCGGTGTCCATCGCGGCCTTGCGCTGCTGCGCCACTCGCGTCACTTCTTCGTATTCGCGGCGCAGCATCGCAGCGGTGACTTGCCAGCTTTGTTTCAGCTGCGCCTCGCGGGTGTCGGCAGCGGCCAGCATGGTGGCCTGCATCGCCGCCACCTTGGCCGTGAACTCGGCCCGCATCTCCTCCGCGCGGCGGTCGTAGAAGGCAGTGAGCTCGGTCCGGTAGCCCTCGAATTTTCCGTACTGCTCCAGCAGAGCTTCGTTCTTCTCCTTTTCACAGGCGGCGACGGTCTGCCGCATCGACCGCACCACCTCATCAGCGAAGCGCACCGACGCCTGCAACTCACCCGTGTGCATCTCGTGCGCCTTGCAGCTCTTCTGGAGTCGGCGGCACTCCTGCGCGGATTGCTCCTGCGCGAGGTTGACCTGGGTAAGGCGCACCCGCGTTGCCTGCAACTCCGCCTCCAGTGCGACGATGCGGTCTGCCTGGTGGGCGATGACTTCCTTCGCGCTCGCGTCGCTCTGCCGGAGCTGCGCACACTCGCGGGTGAGTTGGTCGATGTGCTGCCGCTGCTGGTCCGACAGTGCGTTCTGGCTCTCCTGGTAGGCCGCCAGTTCCTTCTGCTGCGCCGCCATCTCGCCGTGCTGCCGGCCCGCCGTCACTGCCATCTCGCGGAAGGCCGCCTCGCTCGCCTGTGCGAGTCGCTGGAAGGCCTCCCACCGCTGCTCCATGTTTGGCGCGATGTCGGAGCCGTTTGCGCCCGGCGACGCCGTGGAAGGAGAGGAGGTCAACCCCGTTGGCTTTATCCACAGTGGTGGGGCGGCGCTCGTGTCGACGGCGGAGCTTTCCGCCGTTTTGGGAGAACTCGCGCCGGAGGCCGGGTGAGGGGAGGAGGACCGCCATGGTGTAATGGTCGGACGCCACACCTGCGCCTCCTCGCTTTTGGAATTCGTGTCCATTGATGGCGATAGGGGGAGGGGGAGAGTAAACTTGAGGAGCGCTTTGCACCCTAAGAGACTCCACCAACGCGTGAAATTATTTATCTTTCAAACAGATGCCGATTAGGGAAAGGTAAAACAAACAACAGCAAAAAACACACACTTATATTTGTGACACAGCTGCAATGAAAACATCAACAGCAACAAAAAAAAACTGTCGATACGCGGAGCGGGTGTTGTGCGCGCGTGAGAGAGTGCTTTGTGGGGAAAGAGAAAAACAAAAATGGAGGAAGGAAGGACGAGGTGGATACAAATTTGCTCAGCAGCGGATAGAAAAGCAAGACGGCATGAACTTTCGTTCCTATTGCTTTGTCAGAGCAACAACAACAACAAAACCGAGCCATGAACGGAATTGATCGACCCAGAGTGCCACCAGTCAAAGTAGGACAGGCAGACAGCAGGAATGCATTTTCGTTCAGTAGATCCCCACAGGAGCGTCGGTGACGCTGTTGTTTATCGAGGATAATCATAATAATATAAAGGAGCCAAACACACGGACCACAGCAATAGTTTTGACCATCACAACCAAGCCAGCAGAAAGACATTCATCGCGAAGGAACAAAAAGCAAAAAGTAACTGTAAAGATACACTTCGTCGAGAAATATCACAATATATGTTACGTGTTTGCAGTTTAATTAGGATTCTTTAAAGTATTAGTTAGCGTGGGTGTTGTTCTTCGTCTTTTTCTCCCAGATTGCAATCAGACAGGTGCGAGGTGAGCCGCGGTACACCGACGACAACTCGGTTTGGAAAAGGAAGGGGAGTGGCAGAGAAGGCAGAATCTTTGTCTTTTCCCCTTGGTGCTTTCTCTCTCCCTTTTCCGAAGAGGCGGCGAGCCGGCGAAGTGTCGTTGTTCTTCACACGGTGTCACCTCTCCAACCTCTTACCAGCAAACAGCTCCTCGCTCAAAACAATGATAAGAATAACGAAAACGGGAAAGTAATGAGAGTGATCACTGCGACGGGTGTCCGACTATGTATCAAGACGTCGCACGTGCGACGCACAGGGTGTGTTGCGAATTGGCCGCCTCGAGCCGCTTGAGCGCCTCCTCCACACGCTTTTGGGTGGTGAAGCCGATAAGAAAGGAGAGCTGCCCGTCCTCGTCCACTTCCGGTGGCGCCACAACGAAGCGCCCTATCAGGTCACTGAGCAGCGACGTGATCAGAATCTCGTTCACATGTGCGCCTGCCACGACGATGCACAGCTTCTCCTTGAGAGACGGCTTGGTGCGCTGCGTCAGAAACTCCAACGGGTCCATTTGTGGGTCGCGCACCGCACTACTGAGATGCACCGGCGGGATGCCGGTGGAGCCGGTTTTGGTGAGCAGACATGACCGCTGCGGCTCCTTGTCGACGCCTTCGGACAGGACATGGAAGTACTTCGCTAGAGAGTGCACGAGGGCGCGCGAGGAGGAGTTGGCAGGGGGAAGGGACACAACTTGGTCTTTTCCTTCCACAAACTCGGACAGCTGCCGCTCCACTTTTTGCACCGCACGGGGGTCGCGTCGCGCACATTCCCACAGGAAGAGCGAGTAGACGTACTTCTCATTTTTTGTCTTACTGAGGGAGGCCAACGCTTCGAGGCGACGGTTGAAGAAACAGTCGTCGTTGCACGGGACCGTCGCCACATATTTGTTGCCTTTACTCTCCTGGCGCTCCTTCACCTTGTGGCACGGCAGCCGTTCGGAAATACGGCCGCAAGGGCAGGTGCACGTAATGAAGGCAGAGCAGGGCGGACAAGGGCCGCTGCCGTGGCACAGCTTCGTACATCGGTGTCCGCACTCTTCGTAGAGGCGGTCACACGGCTGCTTGCACGGGTGGGCCTCCTCCACGCAGGGGCCGGTGTGGCACACGCGGTTGCAGAGGTGCCCGCACAGCAGCTCCGCCTCGCACGCCGCATCGCACACGACCTCCGTCGCCCCGCACGGCAGCGTCACAGTGGTGTGGTGGCGAGGGCAGGTGCGCTGAACAGGCGCCTGACACGGCGGGCACGGGCCGTAGTGGCACTGATGGCCGGCCGGGTGCCCGCAGAGACGCTTGATCGGACACGCGCGTTTGCACACCGGCGGCTGCGTGGCGCACGGCTGCGGAGGGCGGAGCACCTCGGCTCCGCAGCGGCACCTCAACGGCTCCGTCACGATGTGCGAGCAGGGCGGGCACTGAAGAGAGGCGTGGCACAACTCGGTGCAGGTGTGCCCGCACGGCAGCTGCTTCCCGCAGACCTGAAAGCACAGGTGCGCCTCTGCCTGGGGCTTGCCGCGGTCAACGCAGCAGATCACTTTGCACCGGTGCCGCCCGCAGGACAGCTTCGTGCCGCATTCGTAGGCGCACGTGAAGTGCTGCGACTCTGCGCACGGCAGGCGTTTGCGCACTTTGCGGCACCGACACGACGTCTCGACGCGCACCTCGCAGGGAGGGCAGTCCCCGGCGTGGCACGTGCGCTGACAGCGGTGGTTGCCGCAGGGCAGCATCTTCTCGCACCGCCGCCCACACGACGGGATGGGGTCGAGGCACGACACCCGCTGCACGGAGAGCTCCATCGATCCACAGGGGCACGTGTGCACGAGGGACGGGTCAGTGGGGCAGGGTGGGCAGGGCCCCTCGTGGCACAGCAGCGTGCACGTGTGGTTGCCGCAGGGCAGCGCCTTGCCGCACACCTCACCGCACACGAAGGAGGTCTCCTGCGTGCACGGTCGGCGCTGGGTGGACTTCCCGCAGTAGCAGATGAGGTCGACCTTTTTTGCGCAGGGCATGCAGGGGCCATGATGGCACGGCATGGGGCAGCGGTGCAGGCCGCAGGAGAGCAGCCGGCCGCAGATGTGATCGCACGTCGTCTCGGGGTCCGGCTGTCCGCAGGGATAGGTGTAGGTGGTCGCCCCGCACGGACACGACACCGGCCCGACGAGCAGCTGGCATCGCGGGCAGGAGCCGGGGTGGCACTGCATAGGACACTTGTGGGCACAGAAGGGGCGGTCGCGCTCACACGTCTGCCCGCAGGAGTGCGGCGTGATCATCGGGTCGTACTTTGGCTTGGAGACTTTACCGCAGAAGCAGTGGTCCACGAGCGGCTTGGGCTGCGTGTGGCGGCAGTGCGGGCAGGAGAAGACGTCGCTTTCGCGATCAACCTGACCCCAGCGGCGAATGCACGAAAAGTGGTAGATTTGAAAACACTCCGTGCACGACCAAATCGGCTGCTGCAGCTTCACCTTCTCCAGGCAGCTGGGGCAGTCGTAGAGCTCTCGCTTCAGCTCCTCCGCAAGGTGGAGACTTTGCTCAGCCTCGTCGCTTATGGTTGACATGGCTACACTGCAGCGTTGAGGTTAATCGTGAGACCTTTATAAAACAAAAAGGAAAGAAGACACGTAAAGTGATGTAGAGAGAGAAAAAGTGATGGACAACGGAGGGAAAAATGCGCGAAGGTGCAAGACAGAAGGGAAGAAGCGCAACAACAAGATAAAATACACAGTCCTAAAGGAGCGAGACGCGAGGAATGCGGTGCACGCTCGATAAAAGACACTACACCGTGTGTGAAGCAACCAATAAGTGAAAATGCGGCGTCTGGTTCCTTTGGGAGAGCTTAATATGCTAAGAGAGAGAGTGTGTGTGTGTCCCTCCTTGATAGTTGCTCTTTTGCGAACAATGCAAAAAAGACCTTCATGTGCGTGCGTGGAGGAGAAGAGGGAGAAGGTGGAAGACGAGATCGAAGAGGAGAGCGTTAAAGGTGGATTGCGAAGTGAAAACAAAAGAGGAGCTAGGCGCAATGAGCTTGGGCGGCATGGTGGCTTTCTGATGTTTAACAACAACACCACAACACCACTAAATAATAACTAGTATATTGGAAAGAAAAAACGTGCTCACTTTTTGGTTTGAGGTTTTGAAATCAAGAACACGCACCAAGATGTATAGAAGATTGCACACATGAATTGATAAATTGCATATCCACGTAGAAAGAGAGAGAGAGAGAGAGAGAGAGAGAGAGCAGATCACAGACGCGCATACTTTCGCGGAAGCGGTGGACATCAGCCAACAAAAAGTCAAGAAACTCGATCCCCCCCCCCTAGACGTCCTCAGCGTCCTCTTCGTCGCGTTTGCGTTGTAAGGCCTGCAGCATGCCATCCTTTCCAAGAGTGGTTGAACCGCTTTCCTGATTTGATGAAAGCGCTGGCGCAAGACGTTCGTCGTCTGCAGAAGGTAACACCAGTATCTCAGTCGAGTTTACCGCTGGCGCTGCCGCAAAGGAGGCACTTCTAAAGCTGTCCTGCGCGTCGCCGTTGTTGATGAACGACTCGACAGTTTGCTGCGAAGAGAGGAAAGGCATCCGAAAGAGGTGCTGCAGGCGCGTCGCCTTCTTGTGCCCCAACCCCGCTATGCCCTCCCAATCCCCCGCCTCACTCATCAACACATCGGCCAGGCACGTTTTGCGGTTCGCAATGCGCACGACGTCGTTACGGGTGACGATTTGCGGGGTTTGTGTGAGAGCGTCGATGAGCACCGGCAGTGGGGCGTCACGCACATCCTGATGGGCAGCGACACTGAACTCGAGTGACGTGACAGCAGAAGCAACGAGGCTGGCGAGAAACTGCACGACGTCCTCCACGCTCCACACGAGCAGCAAGCCGCATTGCTGGGCGACGCCGCACTCCAAGTTGAGCCACGACAGCACCTCCAGAGACGGCTCGGGATTGGTCATCCAGACCATCAAGATGACGGGTTGCGTGCCACACTGCCGTCGCGCCTCTGCAAGGCGGGAGACGATGAGGGCCTGGTCGCGGTGGGCCTCGGCGCTTTGCAGTTCGTAGTAGAGCACCGAGGATGCCCCACAAACAAAGTCGCAGTAGTGAAGGCCGCTGTTGACCTCTACCCCAATGCGGCGCTGGAGCAGCGTCTGCGTCACCTCGTGCCGCGCCCATCGAGAGCTGCAGACGATCGTGTGCGAACTCATCGAGGAGTTGTACGCCGTGGTGGAAGTCAATGCACAAGCGCGGCGAACGTCAGAACGCACCCGCTCATGAGGTGAGCTGCCGACAGAAAAAATAATAATGAAGAAGACAGGGAACGAAGAGCACCAAGCGAGATGAACGTATCTGTGAGAATGTCGCGTTTACGTAGCCGCACGCAGCGCCTGCACAATCCAGTAGAAGAAAAAAGGGGTTGTAGAACGAAGAGAGAGACGTACGTTAAGAGCCGAATGAAGCAGATCAACATGGGACACACCAATTCACTGTTGGCGAATACAGAACCGTGCTGCTATGATGCGATGCCCGGAGGAATAGCAGACTCTCGCGTTTTCTATATCTGTGGCTACCATTTGCGTTGAAGGCACGGCGAACGAGGAGGGCAAACGACTGCGACGTAGACTCTACGCACCTATATTCGTGTGTTTAACGAGCAAGATTATGGGCGCACCGTTGAGTGACTCATCACCATCTCGTCCAACAACAACAAAAAATACAGAAGCAGCTATTCCTTTCGCCCCTTTACCCACTAATGTTTCGCTTCCTCCCTTTTTTGGCTGTTATGCACTGTTTAACACTGAGTTATAGATGACAGAAAAGAGTACTCACACAAGGAACAAGGTCCCCTCCTCTGAATAAAGCAAGACAACATAATATCAACAACAAGCAACACGGGCCAGCCCACATCTGACGCACAGCAGAAATAAGCACAAGCAACAGGCACCACCCTCGTCAGCAAGGGTCTAACCACCTGTTCAGCCACGTGGACACACGTACGTGGAGCAGTCGTGCTGGGACCGCTCCGTGTGCGCCTTTCGAATTGGGCAGACGAAATGCACGAAAGAGGCAAACAAACAGCGTAGCTCCTCTTTCCCTTCTGGTGGGGGAGCCGATGAAGGGGCCGAGGTGAACGGGCAAATGCGTCGCAAACGAATACCTTCGCACGCCGCACGAGAACGGAGGACAGCAGACACGGTGGCATCACTACTGCGCTGCGCAGCCGGCGGACGGGCCTTCGTTCTCATCCTCGGCCTCCTCGTCCTTCTTGATTTCCTCCTCCAAAATAGAAAGGTCCTCGCGCGTCACGTAGCAGACCTCGCCCTCCTCCTCGTTCCTGGCGGTGGCGTCGACGCTCTTCGGCGGCGGCAGCGCTTGGCGGAGCAGCTGCAGCTGGGACTCCTCCACGCGGTCCGGGTAGTCGACGAGAAACTCGATAATGAGGTCACCAAACTTGCCCGCCTGCTTCAGCACCGGCATGCCCTCGCCCACCACCGCCTTCACATCACCCGGCTTCGTGATCTGGCCACGCGGCTGACGGACAACCAGCTCGCGACCGTCAAGGTGCGTAAGCTTGAACTGAAACCCACACAGCGCCTCCTGCAGCGACAGGTGGTGCTGCATGTGCAGGTCGCAGTCGTCGCGTGTGAAGATGTCGTGCTTCAGCTGTTGCAGCACCACCACAAAGTCGCCCGCACGGTCCGCGCCGGGCTCCTCGTCCGCCATGCGGGCAAAAACAAGCTGCTGCTTGTGGCTCATCCCCTTCGCCACCACGACGCTCACCGGGGCGTCCACCTCGACCGTTTTACTGCCCGAGCAGCGGGGGCAGCGGTTGCGCGGGTCGATGAGCTCGCCGGTGCCGCTGCAGGCGTCGCACATCACCTGCGACTGCTGCACCATCATGCCCATCTGATGCACCACCACCCGCACCCCACTGCCGCGGCACTGCGGACACACGTTGCCGCCACGCGGGACGTTCTTCTTCTTTGAGCCGCTGCCTTTGCACTCGGGGCACAGCACCGTGCGCCGGCGCTCCACCTGCACCGTCTTCCCGTTGTACAGGTCTTCCAGGGTGACTGGAAGGGCGTGGCCCACGTCGCGACCTCGGCGAGCGCGCTGCCCGCGTCCGCCACGACCGCCGAAGCCGCCCATGCTCTCCATGCCCGGCATCCCGCCTGCGCCGAACATGGCGTTCAGCATCTCGTCCATGCCAGCCCCGTACATTTCTACTTCCCGCGCGAGTGTGCGTGTGTGGGCTGAGGAAGAGCTAAGGAAAATAAAATATAGTTGCAACAGGAACGTGCCCGCACACACGCTTACACAAGAAAATGATCGTCTTTTAAAAGTTACTGTGTCCGACGCATGTGTTTAATTCCATGCGTGACCGCAGTCACCATAACAAGCAACGATAACGGAAAACACAAAACAACAGAGGAGAGGCAGAAAGATGTGGATAAGTGCAAAAAAGGTGAGTCTCTTCCCACCGTTGGTCGTTGACGGCCGGGCGATTCTTGAAAGGACCGCTTGAGGAGACCCCTCTACCGCTTAAAAGAACAAACTGCGTTCACCCGGCAAAAAAGTGCTGGAATGCGCAAAGGAAGAATAACAGCCAAAACGGCGTTTCTTTTTTTTTGTCGTTGTCGTCTTGGACGCATTTTTTAAAAGCACCTCGACGTACTCGAGCGCTGGCGGCACTGTGGACGCCGCAGAGGGTTACAGGCCAAAAGAGCGGCCCTCGTGCTCGCCACGGGAAAGTGCGGGCAGCACTCCGCACCGCAGCTGCCCCGCCTCACGCCGTCTTTTCGAACACAAACAGGCGGTACAGCTGCACAGCTTCCACCTCCTCCGACGAAAGGGGGATCGCCGTCGCCTCGCCGTCGTGTCCGCGCTTGCGACGCATCTCCGCTAACAGCACTTTGCCCTCCGGCGTCTCCTTGTGCTGCTCGTAAAAATGCATGAAGTTGTCCTCCTGGACGAGCTGAAGGTGGTGCGCCGCGCACAGCTCCACAAACGATTTCCACGGCACCACGTACTCGACCACGTCCTGCACACTGCGCTCCACCGTGGTCGAGTACGGCACCCCAAAAGTCAGCCGCGACGGCTCGAAGTCGGCCGCCTGCACCTGCGCGAAGGCCTCCGCGGGGAAGTGAACGCGGTAAACGTCGTTGCCGTAGGAGGCGCCGTGCGTCCTCGCACGTGCCAGCAGTTCTGCATCGCTTACGGTGGTGCCCACGAAGCGGCCGCGCGCGACGAGGGAGTCCGCCACGGCGCGCACGAAGTACCGAATGCCCTCCGCCGAGCGGCAGCCGTAGTGCATGGAGAATTGGCAGGAGGTGAGCTGAAAGGGGCCGCGCTTGAGGAGGTCGCCGCGGAGGCCGGAGGTGGCGTCGAAGGCGTCGTGCACGGCGAAGAACGCCGGGAAGCCTCGTCGCTGCGCATTACTCGACTTTATGCTCTGCCCTTCCGAGGTGCTGTAGCGCGCGGCGGCCTCGGCCACACACTCCACCGAGGCGTCTGTCATGAAGACGAAGGCGGGGTGGAGGTGCTGCCACTTCAAGAGATCCCCGCCGCGGCCGCAGCAGAGGTCCAGGGCGTGCAGCTTTGCCGGGTCCTTCAGCGTCGTCCGCACCGCCGCAGCGCCGGCGGTGATGAGCAGCGACTTCACCCAGTTGTTGAAGCGGCGCAGGTCGCTGCGCTCGGCGTGGGCCAGCTCCTTCGCCACCGCGCCGTAGTGGCGGCTTGTCTGCTGCGTCGCCTCGGACGTGGGCACTGCGGCTACCACGAGCGGTTTGTCGCGTCTGCGCTGCAGCAGCGGTGCCAACGCCGCACTGTCGCCGTGATGCAGCAGCCAGTCGAGATGCTCAATGACGTTGTCGAAGAGAGCATCCTTGTTGTTGCCGCGTGGGTTGAGGTGGATCAGCTCCCAGTAGCCCGTCTCACCGTTGTAAAAGGCGTCCACCACGAAGTCCGACCACGCGTAGCACCCCCCGGCGTTGCCCAGCTGAATGTAAAGCGCCTCCGCCAGTGACGGCACAGAGGCGGCAGCGGTGGCCGGGTCGTAGCCGAGGCCCACACAGTCGCTGATCCTCCGCAGCGGGAAGGGCAGCGGAAACTTGACAGCTTTGTTCGTGTTGTTGGTGAAGGCGTTGAGGTAGATTTCTGTGTTTCCGCGGCTCTCACGAATGGCGCGCAGCGTCACGGCGGCCGTCACACACTTCTCCGCCTGCGCCAGGTCAACGATCGGTGGACCCGCAGCGGTGACAGAGTTGGACGACGGCGTCACTGCGCTTACGTCCGCGAGTACGGCGTCTTCGAGCGCCACCGCCACGCGTGCTGCGTCGCCCTTCTCTTCTGCGTCATCGTCCGCCTCCCCCTGAAGCAGACGCAGCAGCTTCGGCAGGGAGACGTTTTCAACGAGGCTTTCGTAAACCGAAATGGCCGTCACGATCGAGTTGGCGCCTCGCTTGTCGGGTCGCAGGCGTTGGATGTACCACTGCTGATGCGCAAAGTCGTACGCGCACTCCGCCACGACCGCCGCGTCGACCGGCATCTCGAAACCGCGTGGGTTTCGGATGTACATGGGCCTGCGCAGGCGCCAGTGCCCAATCACGTCTTCCCTGTGGCCATAATTCTTCTTCATAAAGAAGAGCGACACCGTGTAGACGTCGGCCTGCTTATCCGAGGCCAGCAACAGCCAGTCGATGGAGAGGAGGTGACGCCACTTCCACTTGAGCTGCACGCTGCTGGAGCCGACTGATATGGGAAACAGGTCAGGGGTAAAAATAAGTCCGTCATTCTCCGTCGGCCCGTGCGGCCCGTCAAAGAGAAAGCAGTGGTGCTCGCTGCTGTAGCGGAGCCTCGACAGACAGGCCCCGATGTCCGCGACACGCCACATGGTTTTTGCGTACCACGTCACATGCCCTTCTAGGAAGCCGCCGTGCTCCTCGTTGAGTGAAGGGGAGGCGGCGCAGGTGGCGATTAACTTCTGCAGAAGCTCGTAGCGCTCCATCATGGTGGCGTCCACCAGCTTCGCCGCTTCTTCTTCGCCTGCGGGGGTAAAGCAGAAAAGATCGAACGCGCCCAACAGCAAACGCGCCCCCGTCGCACCCGCAGCAGAGGAATCACCGCCCTCCTCTTTCTTCGCGAGGGTTGAACCACGCACACACATCAGCTCGCCGTCCAAGACAAAGTTGCGGTATTGGGCGCTTGTGTGATCGTCTAGGAATAGGTACGCGGCGTCCATCGAGCGATCAACCGCGTAGGCGAAGTGGCGCCCGCCGCAGCGACGCCGCGCCGCGAAAGCCTCACCTTCGGCGACGATGGTGTACGTCTCCGCTGGCTCGCTCGCCTCGACGGAGGTGGTTGCCGACTGCAGTGTGACTCGGCGCCCCTGCAGCATCACGCTGACCCCTGACGACGACGGCGTCTCCGTGTCGTGCATCCCGGCCCGCACGTCCCGTCGCGCCTTCTCCAGTGCCATCACCGAGGAAAGGTGCGAGACATTCCACGCCCCTTTCGCACACGCCCACTGCGGGAAATCGGCCACCCACAGCGCCACCACCACGACGCGAACGCCGTCGCTCTTCTCTGTGACGGTGTAGGTGTGCTGGCGAATTTGGGGGATGTCCCTTTTGCACAGCGGGCTGCACATCGGGCCGGGGAACTCCCTGGAGTTGGTGGTGGACGTTACGTCGGCCACTTTCAGAACTCGGCGAAGCGCGTCTGCCGCCGTCGTCGTCGATGCGGCGGGAGTTTCAACGGGGGCTGCCTCAGCTGTCATCATTTGCTGAAAGGCGGCATCTGCTTCTACGCCCTGTGCGTCCGACCAAGCGGCTGCAATGCCGTGTACGCAGTGGTACCACGCGTCCGTGGCGCGACAGCAGTACCGGCGATGCCCGTCATCGCGGTGCACTTTACTGAGTAGCTCAAGATTCTGCAGCTGCATCTTTTGAGCAGCGATCAAGAGCGTCAGGAGATGTTTGCAGCGTCGCGGAGTTCAATCACACGTTGAGTTCTTCAAGCGGGATGCGGAGAGAAAAAAAAGAAAAGATGTAGACAGAGGAGAAAGTACAAGAGCAGAGCCCTACATCAACTAGAGCAGTCACAACATCCGATGCTTTATGCATAAAGATTCCCAGAGCGCTACACGACGCACGTAGGACCGCTCCGTCTGTTCGCAATGCAGGTCGTTCGAAGCCCGTGCCGTGCAACATATTCTATGGTTTTTCTTTCGATTATTGTTGAATAGCAGAGAGCAAGACAGACGTCGGTCGGTATACCACGAAGGCACTTGAAGTGGTCCTCATAGAACTAGAAAAGAAGGCCAAATGAGCAGAAAACAATGAGCAAAGACAAGCCCGCAATACACGCTAGCGTTTTCAAGCCTGAAAGAAGAAGAGTAATCTGCAGAACTCTATCTGCCGCCGTCTTCCTGCACAAAGATCGAATGCGTGCTGTGATCCCTTAGAAAGAGAAGTACTTTTCTTCCTGCTAGCCTGCAGCAACGTGCTTGTGTATGTGACGGTTTTGCCGGTGGTGCCTCTCTCTCTCCATCGGGCGCGGCGCTCGGCATCACAATGAGGTACATCGCCGGATCGACACCGAATGGCACTCCAAACCCGAAGGTGCGACAGCAGCCGATTTCGCTCATAAGCTACTCAAAAGAGTCAAAACATGACGTTTTCGGTTCACGGAGAATTGGACTGGAAACCCGCCTCCGACCTTTCTCGCACGAACAGGCGCATTTCTACTGTGCTGAAACTTTCCCTGTGCAGCTCCGCCGGCTTTGTGCGATTGCGCAACAAGCTCCGTGAACTGCTGTGCCAAGACCTCCGCAGCTGCTGTAGTAGCGCCCGCTGGTGAGGCAGGCATGAAAGACGCGGTCAGAGGTGCGGGTACATGGGACACGTGGATGGAGTGATAATGAGGTGAGAGCTTCAAGGAGAAAGCTCACCGAATGAAGTAAGAGACAAGAAGATAAATAGAGAGAAAGAGGGAGAGATAGATGGGTAGAGTAATAGACAGATGGAGGAATATCTAGAGAAGCGAAGATAGGGAATGCGCACGGTCAGTCATACATGGCGTTGAAATGCTCTTTAAAAAAGCCCCATGGCGGCCCAGGCACCCGACAC